ACCCACTGTGTCGTCCTCATGAAGCCATTCAGTGACCTAGAGCTGCAGCCATGAGTCAGTTCACTGGTAGAAAATGAACCTCAGCTATTTAGAAGCAACAGTCACCGACATGTTCTGGTTCCACCTTCTTTAATGTGAGGAGCTGATGCTTTTCTTTGTCAGACATGAGAATCAGCTGAGTCTCTGTGCGTCTGTTGGTTACCAGACCAGCTGCAGACCGATTTTCTTTAGCTCGACTGATCGATGAACTGACCAGTGGTTGCAGCTCGACCTCTCTGTGCACGTCATTACATTCTTTATGCGGCAGCCATGTTACCACAAAGGCCGTGACTGAGTGGCATCAGGTAACCTGTGTGTGGTCCCCAGCAGGACGGGGAGGACGCCGCTCAGTTCGCAGACAGAGTGAAATCTGCCATCGCTCGTCGGGGAGGACTGCTGGACCTGGCATGGTGAGTACTCCCAGTACTGCCACGTACCTCAGTAAGGACAGTCACTCAGCAGTCAGTTTGAGTGTAAAGGGACAGAGTAGCAGCTATAACCTGAACATTAACACGGTCACGGATCAGTTAGAAATATAAACATGTTTAACCCTGATTCACTTAGTAAACAACTTCTCCATAACGAAGGAACCTTCATAAACACATTAACATGTTGTCATCTCCTTTTGTCCCACAGCTGTAGCTACTAGTTCGTTTACTCTCAGAATATACCGTCAGCCTTTAAAGCACGATGTGTGATCACAGATCCTGAACATTAACACGGATCAGTTAGAAATATAACCATGTTTAACCCTGATTCACTTAGTAAACAACTTGTCCATAAAGAAGGAACCTTCATAAACACATTAACATGTTGTCATCTCCTTTTGTCCCACAGCTGTAGCTACTAGTTCGTTTACTCTCAGAATATACCGTCAGCCTTTAAAGCACGATGTGTGATCACAGACTAAACCAGTCAACAGTGAGCTTCGCTCCACCTTAAACCGCTACAGCAGGAAATGATAAATAATACGTAGCATGATAATAACCAGTAACATAGAAGAATAAGACTGCGGATCACGTACATTTACTTCTAATAGTTTAAGTACATTGTGGTGACAGTGCTTTTACTTTGAACTAGGGCTGTGACTGGCAGATTATTAACTGATTCATGCATTAATCATTTTCTTGATTAAATGCAAAAGCATCAAGGCGTCACAGGGCGACGTCTTCAGACATTCAGTGTATTGTTATATATGACAGTCGGAGAGTATGGAGCAGTAACACTGACCGTTGACTGACTGTTGACTGACTGAAGACGAGTCGCCCTCTCGGTTCATCTCTACTGTAACCGAGTTATTAAAGTCACTGCTGGGAGCAGCTGACCAGCGTCTTGTTTTTCTGCCTTGCAGGGACGGAGGGCTGAAAAGAGCGAAGGTGAAGGACAGCCTTAAAGAAGAGCAGCAGAGGATGTACAGCAGCATCATAGTTGGACAGAGGGCCGTGGAAGGGTGGAGTGAAGACACTGAGCAGCAGTAAAACGGAATCTTCTGAATCTGGAGGAAGCCTCAGCTGGTGACTAACGCAGTCCGAACGGCTGATTTTACTGTTTGTATCTCATTTAATCACAGTGTGAAGCAGCGTTCAGCTTCACAGTCACTGACTGGCCTCCCGTCATGTGTGTGCAGGAGTGTGTCTGCACCAGCAGGGGGCAGTGTACGACAAGGGAACACCCCAGGCCTGGAAACGCCACTCCTGCTGTTCAGACACCACGTCCACTGTGTCCTGCCTTTATCACCATCTGTATCACCGTGCTTGTTCTTCTTGGTGTGTGTGTCTCCATCTACTAACCTGCACACACACACACACACACACACACTTCATCCACCTTCATTTTCTTTTTCTTCTGATGCAATAGAACATGACAAAGGCACGAGACTGGGCAGAAGAAACTGTTCACGACATCGACTGACTGATGAGTTACTGTTCTGTTTGCAAACACATAAACACAAATCATCACACTGCGGGAGCTGGAACAGGCACATCAGCGACTCCAGAGATGAACTGACTACCAAAATAGTTCATTTTAATAAATTAATTGATTAATCAACTGATAGTTTCTAGCATCAATACCATGTGATCTGCAGCAACTCCAGTGAGAACATGAGGGTGAACTGGTCGAGTCCAAAATAAGATGTGTTGTGAGGACGTTAATAAAAGAAATGTAGGAGAGTAAGACAGTAAATCATCATTTTTATAATGGCAGGTGTGTGTGTGTGTGTGTGAGAGAGAGATTCACTTCACCAGGAATCAGTCCATCAGGCTCTACAGGTGTGAAGCACTGAGCAGCCAGTGAACTCCACAGAAAATGTGTCAGGTTTGAGGTTTTTTGGCAGAAGGAAGAGTCCACACTGTTCTTTATCCTGTATTCACTGTAGTGTCATATAAAACCCAACGTGCACAGACAAAAGTCCCAGAGAAAAGTCAAAAATAACAATTAAAAAAACAAAGAAAAGACAAAAACATAAATAAATAAAGTCAAAGAAAAACCAGGTGGAAGAAAGATATTTAATTTTTACATACTTTCTATATTTCCCAACAAGAGATCTGAACTAAAGCTGTGGTTTCCAACATGTGGCTCAGGGCCCCCAAAGAGCCCTGGGACCAATCTGAGAGGTCACAAGATGAGTAATAAACTCGACCAGGAGAAACGTGGTGTTGTTTCCAGCCTGGTTGGAGTCTCCTTGTCTCGTATGGACAGATGTTGGAGTCGGACAGCGTGGTCTCCATCGCCACAGCGCTGGAGTGTGTGGCCAGTGAAACTCCTGCAGAAATAAACAGCCGGTGGCTTTAAAAGATAATTTATCTGATGTAAAGATTTGGTCCTCTAATACAACAGTGATGAAGTCCAGTGGAGCACAGAGCGGGTTGTCCTCCCAGACACTCAGTGCTGTTACATGTTGACTAGTCTGATCCAGATGTTTTCAGCCTGCGTGAGGAAAACCTCCCACCTGAAACACTCAACATTTGGTCCATTTAATCACCAAAACACTGAGCAGCAGCTGTTCTGAGAAGTAAGTCCACTTTGTGTTAGTAACATGTCCTACTGACTGGTTCTGCTGTAAACAGTGGTGAGTCATGAACCACACAGAGTTAAACTAGTGAACTACATTTTGCTGGTAGTTCAACTACATTCATGGTTGTTTAGCGACTGAAGTAGTTAAATGACATTTTTGTCATTGACTACTGCGACTACAGACAGTGTTTGGGCCATAAATCACTAGTATTTTACCGTTGCTCCTCTAACCAACACGGCCCTTTGGATTTGAACTTTGACAAACTGCTCATGTGTCGTATGAACAAGAGATTCAGTAGGAAGAGATGATCCCAGTCCAACCAGTGTTCCAGCTGCTCATGTCTAGTTGGTAAGTTTGTACAAGTTAGATGTTGCAAAACTGACACGTGACACAACAGGCTCATGTTTTTAGACCAGCACTAAAGTCAGACAGTCAAGGTGCACTTCAGTAAATGAACACACACTCTGGCTGTAAACGACCTACAAACACAACACACCTGTACAGATATTCACAAGCAGGGCCGGATTAAGAAGCTCTGTGGCCCTAGGCTTTTAGCTTTTGAGGCCCCTGCTTGTTGTTTTAAAGCACATTAAGGTAAAAACCGTTTTAAGGCCACAGAGCCACACTGCTACCGATTACAGATGAACTAAATCAGAGGCACGTATCTTTATCACCGCTGTGTTATGATGCTCTGGTGTTTCTGGGTGGTCATGGATCAATGAGCTCAGCTCTGTGTGTAGAGTCAATCCTGAAAAGTAGGACAGTCCCCCCC